TTTCTTTATGATTAATTGGAAATATCTCAATGTATAAAGTTTCTTGATAGTAATGTCTCAAATTTGACAAAAGAACATGAGTTTTTGCTTCATTTTTATCTCATAGTTTAAAGAGAGAAAAGATGAAATAGCTCTTTATAGTTCTTTAATTAAAATGAGACTGAATGAAAATCAGTTAAGTTTGAAATAAACACAAGAAACTTGTGCTCCAGAAAAGGGATCAGCACCCAGTGAAAATAGCCTATGGCACAGCTTACCTATGTAGACCAATGAGCAGTGATAACTAACATGTCTTTGGGGTCATCAGGTGGGAACCTCTCTTCATCGGTGTTTCGTCTAGTTGGTCCCACAACACCTTCAGGAGGCTAGACCGTGATCTCTGGCGTCCCAGAGCCACCGCCCTCAAATGCCAGCTGTTACTGCTCCTCACCACAACACAACAACCCCCTTTTCCTTACCTATACTACCACTGCTACATCAGCCAAAACAGCATGCCACCTTCAATAAACTCTATCTTATATTTCCCTACAATTATTTCAAACAAATAAGCTCACCTAAGATGAAACTTAAACTTATAAAAATAAAAATGTACAGTGAACAAATCTGAAGAGAATAAGGCGTAGTCCACACGTATATTAGTATATTTGAAGAAAATAGCCATTTCATTTTAAGTCTTTGAAAGTGCACCTTTTGTAAAACTCTTTCAAAATGGAGATTTTCAGAAACTCTGTTTTCAGTGTTGACGTGTATACAGAGAAAGCAGGCCTGCAACATGAAAGTGTGTGATGTTATCTCTTTTATGAGGCATCACAAATAAGGCGATATTTCTTGCAATGGTGGATGCGGCCAAAATAGTGCTGGCTCTAACCTCATTAACAGGACTGTTGTATGTGAAGTCCACTTCCACTGTAATGAGGAACAGAGGCGTCAAAATGTGCTAAGGAGGTCACTGCTCATCACCTAATGGTTTGGCTCTTAATGATGCTTCGGTTGTGTTTTGCATGACAGACTTTTTTTTAATAACAGTACTTGTGTATAACTAATTTATTTTGATATGATGGAGGGAGAAAAAACTGTGTTGAAAAATACCCATGTACATGTGGGCTAGGTTTAAAGCAGGACAGTATTAAAATGCCTTTGGAGTTTTGACGATGTTCTTAAACAACCCTGTCTCTCTTACAGCCATCTAACATCTGAGATCTGAGTGATGAGCCAGACTAAACACAGCTCAAAACGTAATCATAGCAAAGTAAAATGAAATACAATTAAATACAAAATGTAAATTTAGCCATGAACTTTTAAAGGATAAAGCATAAAGTACTGCAGCCTCCCTCCAAAAGCATCACTAACATCATTAATATGGAAAGGACAGTAGCCTACCTTACAGATGAGTCAAATCTTCTCCCATCAGCGTCATAGGCTTCACATAGGAAGTACAAGTGTTGAGCAGTATTTATGTTGGGTTGTGGGATTTGATTTTGGTCTGCATGGATCTCCATAGAATCAGAGTTAAGGGAAAAAAACACACTTTATTTTGAAGGGGAAGTAAGGTCATCCTGAAGGTTCATTTCTGAGATCTGCTCTCTGTTTGACTTCACTTTCAAAGTGATGAAAGTTTTAGCAGTTTTGCTTTGGTGTCCTGAGAGAATAAAACTATAAGGACCTTGGGGTGGTAAAAGTAAAAACTGAGCACTGAGGCACTTTCGTTATGAGAAGAAGGTGCAGAAATTATTTTCAATTAATATCACCTGGGGACATGTTTCTGGGGGACAACAAAGAAAAGGAAAAGGAAAAAATCAGTATAAAGCCCGTGGTATTTTAATTTAAAGTGTAAAAAAAAAAGTTCCTCTTATTGGACTGCAGTGCATTCCTACTAAAAACACTTTGTGTGATGGGCTATTTGCTGACATTATCATCAGCCAAATCATTCCGCTCAAATAAAAAAAATATGAGCTTTTGCCTCAAGGACAAATACATTTTTTAAAATCATCTTTTCTTAATTCAGTATTTGTTCCAGTCAATGTTCATTTGAAGACAGCAGCAGAATCACCTCAAAATGAAGAGTTCTGTTGTAAAACTTTTGCAGTTTTTTTCTTTTCATTTAAACTGTGAGTTGCATCAGGTGCAGTGCTAAAAAAAAAGTATTCAGATCCATCCTACTCCATTACAAGTAAAAGTAAAAATTTTCTCATGTTATATCATAATAACTGACTTTACCACAAGACATGTCACCTCTAACAGAGAGGCCCATAGGGGACCCCTGATGCCTTTGGCCACGTGGCATATGCATGTCCACAGTAGGCCTGTTTAGTAAACTATCCATGAATGCATTACCCTTATTTTCTCATATCTTTTCAGGTGGTTTTCAGTTACAAAGTTCAGTAAATGTATTTACTAATACTGATACAAAAGAAAATAAGAAATGACTGATTTAATTGAGTAGTGTTTTTATACATGTAGTTTACTTATAGTTTAGGTAGAATTAGAAAAGAAATGATTTTGCTATAGATGACTACTGACAACTACAGTTGTGTTTTTGAGGAGGCAATCTGAATCATTCTGAAGGGCCCACTCTTCTCCCAACTCTCTCCAGCCCTGCCACCCCCCCTTTCCATGTGCCCCAATGCAACTGCACTGCTTGCACTGTCTATATTTACACCCCTGGTATTATGTGTGGACATGTTTCACATAAGGAAGGAACGGAACCGTAAGTTGCAAAAAGGGAAACAAGTACTCAAGACATTTTTTTCAGTTGCAGCCAACAGTGGTCTGTCTGAAAATGCACCTAAGGGTCAGAGCTGTTGAAATGTCACTTAAAGGAGAAGTGTGTATGATTTAGGGGGATTTAGTGACATCTAGTGGAGAGGATTGCAGATTGCAATGAGCTGAAACTTCTCCCGGTTAGAATTCTATTAGTGTTTTTTGTGTAGGAGGATTTTATCTGTAGAGGTCTCTTCCTCTCTAAAACAAACGAACCAGGGGCCGTATTCTCAAACATTCCGAGAATACTCTCAGAGAGCTCCTAGCAATTCTGAGAAAGGCAGGAACAGACACTTTAACCTTAGTGAGGGGGTGTGGTCAACCCCATTGCTAGGCATGATGCATTCTTTTAACAGGTGTGATTAGTTGTCAGAGACACACCCTTTTGTGAGCCTGTAAGGTGTGGACACCCAGTGGAAATGAAATGAACTGCTGACTGCGAAAGTGTTGTCATTGTTAATGTGATCACTCTGCTGGTGCAAGGTTTAGACAGACTCAAGTCATCACTGCTGCACTGTTGCTTTTTTCCAGTTTTCCAAATATCTCAGTGTTGTGATCCTTTTATTTCTGGCATTAAAGCATTAGGTGGGAAATGTGTGCGTATCCCTGATGAGATCAACCACATATATTATTCCTGCACTATCTAATCTGTAGCATTTCATGTACTTACTGTCATCCAGTGTTTAAAGAATATTCCTCTGACATCTTTGTGTTTCCACCATTTTTTCCTCTGATTAAGAAACTCTTAACCCTCTTAAAAGTCATCCTCTCTACTTTTAACAGTTTTTCACCTTAGGAGCTCTTTTAAGGGCTAAGACACTTTGTGAATAGCTTTTTTTTCAAGGACCTAGTCTTAACTTTGAGGAAGAATTCAAAGAAAATGTCGTCATTCTTTATTCATTTCTTAGCTGAGGGTCTTACACAGTTGCACAGAATCTCTGAAAAGGATAAACATTAACTCATTTACTGCATTGAACGAAATCTTACAGCAGTAAAGGTTTCCATGGAGATTGTTGGACTCATGCTCGCGATGCCTGTTATCGACTCACGAAGTTGGCTTATAGTGAGATAATGGAAAAATGGCAGAAGACGAGAAGACAAGAAAACCATATTGGTCAGAGGAGGAAAAGATTATACTTCTGGAGGAATTCAATCATAGAAAGCAAACACTACAAAGTAAATTTGATCCCAGAATACCAGAAAACAGAGAACGATTATAGGAAGAAACTGTGATGAAAATGAATTCAGTCAAAGCTGTAGTGCAAAATCAAAAGCTTATCCATTGAGTTCCTGTGGGGTGTGTTAGTTTTTCTCATTTATCACCATAAATAATATTGCGGTTAAGATAGAGTCAGAGGGACCTTCAGTGTGCTAAGGTGTTTTGTGCAATGATAGGGATTCCTTATGTATAAGACCAAGACAAAGAGAAAAATGTGAATACTGTAGTATCTATTTTAAGGAAACCTTAAGGAGAAGACTTAAGGGTGTTTTGTGCAACCAATTTTATTTTGAGGAAATTTTAACAAGGACTTAAGGGAAAATCTTAACTCAAGGTAACTGAAGATATTTAATGTAAAATCTACAGTTCCCATTTTCAGATATTATACACTAAAGAAAACATGATTTTTTTTTTTTATTTAATTCCATTTCAGCATGAATATCCCTAAATCCTACACACTGGACCTTAACAGTTTAATGCGTATTAGCCTATTTCTTATAATGGAAGTTTTATGAATTATTCAAAGTGGCCAGCAGGATGGATTTTACTCCTGCACTGCCTGAAAAATGTCCGCATTAAATGCCACCCACCTCTTCCTCAACAACAGTGCCCCTGAGCAAGGCACTGACATCACCTGCTGGCTGCAGGTAGGCTCAGGGTGCAGCTGCCAACAGTAAACACAAAGTGTGTGGTGCAAGACATAAAATGTCTTTAGGTTGTTGTCCCTGAGTGAGCAAACCCTGCAGCTCTTTGACTCATGATCTGTGGACTACTCGAGGTCTTATCTCCAAATCACGACTTTGTTTGGCGCGTTTATTTAACCCTCCCTGCCATGAAGCACGAGCTACAAATCATGCACAGACGTGCACCAACGTGCTTTTTAGCCCACATTTCTTGGCGGACTAAAGCTGCATTCCGCCCCACCCCTTACAAACAACATCATCACCACTGTACCTAAATCAGGAAGCACCGAGACACGTTTTTTTTCTTTTTCTTTTTTTTTTTTAACGGAGACACGCTGGTGGTCACAGCAGCGGCGAACCATAAAGGGGAAAAAAGGCGTTATTGTTGATGTTGATGACGACCATCGTCGACCACTGTTGAGAGAAGACTGACAGTTGGTTACATCCATCCAGTACAAGGCTCAGCTGTGGATGCATTTTACACAGGAGACGGGTATGTGCACAGTCAACCTGGTAACATTTACAAAAACAAATACAAGGCGACAAAGCCCGTGTACAGACTGTAACGTTACACACATGCGCTGGATACTATAGCTTGTTGTGCTTTTTTTTCGACCGCGGGTTACGCGGTGTAAAGATAGTAAACATGTCATCCACGTCGACTTGTTTACAGTGCGTAACAGCCGTTTCGAAAGCTGCAGGGAAAATATGCTCGGTATGTCATTTTCTTGCTCGTCCAAGTCTGCGTAACTCGGTGTGACCGTTCATAGTAAGTGTTGTTTAATAAGCATCACTGCCACCAGACAGTGTCACTGCTTTGTCATGTGCTTTGACAGTGTTGCCCCCCACCACCACCTCTACCAACCACCACCCTCCCTGTTGCCTTCTCTCTCTCTCTCGTTGAGCCAATAACAGTTAACGCAATTTAAAGCTCATTTGCTTTGTGGCAATAAAACACGCTGTGTTGAATGAGACTCAAGGCCTGGTGTCAATCATTAAATAGGTCTCTTCAATTCGGCGTACATACCGCAAGCAAAGCAGGTCTTTAACCCAATAAAATTCAGACTTTTGTAACGGCTCCACACTGTTTGCTACCGGAAACCCCCGGTGTGTTTTGGTAGCAGTGGGCCGTTGAACCAGTGGGAAACGAGGTATTTTGTTTAAAGTTAATCAAATGCGCATATTGATAAGCGGATCAAATATATGCCGAATTAATCAGATGGTCATAACGATTCGTGTGAAGTATAAATCACGTTACATGAGGCAGGGACTTTTGCACCAAACTCTGTCTTCTTTAAACTGAAAGATTTTAAATGGAGTTTTGCTCCTACTTGAAGGCAGTGTAAAGGAAGAATGTCAGTGTCAGTGGTTTTAATACATTGTATTTTTTTTGTCTTGACCAGTGGACAGACTGGTGTGCGGGCTTTTAGGGGCCGAGAATATACACTGTGAATCCCAGTGGAAATTAAGTATTACATCATTCTGCATCCCAAGCGACAGTGAAGGCCTGTAACAGGAACCATACGGGCTCTATTTGCCTAACTGAACAGAACAACTGTTGAGCGCTGCACTGTTGGTCTGTTGAAGGGGAGAACTGCCAAGATGTAACAGCAGCATATGGCTGTCATTTTTACACACAGTCTGCTAGTTTAATGTCAGAAAAAGAGAGAGTGTGGGTCTCAAAGCGGTGACATGCTCGTTTACTGTCACTGCCATGCACGGTCTATAAATAAAGTACTCACACATGAGTGGCTGCTTACGTCTGAATTGAACTAATTTATTAAAGCCTGCAGCCCTGGATGTCCTCTAGACAGGGAACACTCAGCAAGGTAACCTCTGGCTTCATTTGATACAAACTAAATGTAGGGTTAGTCCTCACCTTTTATATCCTCCTTTAGTTGATAAAGACGAAACAAAAGGCAGATCATGTTAGCTGAAACACTGAGGAATCTTACTCTCAATTCATCATATCAGGTGGACCATGAAAAAATGACACTGTCTGGGTCACACACAGCAGATAACATGATTCACTTTTGACACAGATTGGTGGTGTAGTGATAGAAACTTCTTTGGGATGATCTAATAGATTTGAGGCATGTCAAGGATTACTAACAAGACAGAAAAAGCTTGTTTTGATGCATAGCAGGATGCCAGCAGTTGTGGCGTAACCTCCACATAGTTGGAGGAAAAGCCTCGGTTTGCCTGCCACTACCTGAGTCGGGAAGGCAGCGGGATTGCATTCCTTTGCATTTCACTGGATTTGCCCCAGCTCAGCCAAGAGAGGAAAATGCCAGGAGGTTTGCTCAGCCGTCACGTGTGTCACTCTGCATTCCTTTGTATTTATGTACAAGACGAGCTTATACCGGCCGGCTGTACTGTGAGTGTAGCTTTGCAGAAAGCAAGGTGAAAAGTTGGGTGCTCCGGTTTTTCCACACTAAGTGAAGTTTTCCATCTTGCTCACTAAATGTGCGTGTGACTGCATGCCATATCTGTGTTTTGCAGGTGATACATTGAGGTTAGTCAACTTCCGTCCTCACAGACTCACAAACTTCCTCTCTTCTCACACTTCCCCTCCTGTCTGCGCCTGTTCTTGGCAGACAGGTTGAGTCACATTACCTGCTATATGAACACCCCCTCTGCGACAACGCAATAGTTTTGTTAGTTTTGCCCGAGGCGTGGTGTTGCCTTACAGCTCAGGGTGGTACACTGTCATCTGCAATGGCGTCACAGCCAGGAGTGTCTCCTCCCTCACAGGGATCTCAGCAGATGGTAAAACCGAATGCTTTGCCTCCAGATCCAAGTCAAGAGGTTGTTGCTTGGATTATTAGATGGCAAACCCCAGGTGGTGGTGGTTATCTCCTTTGAGGAGCACTGAGCTTATGCTTCAGGCACAAGCCTATATCACTAGGACACCCTAGGGAATAACGGGAGGTGCCCATGCATAAAGTAAAACAACTATATGCTTGAATTAACAAAGCAATAGCTACCCCTGGGAGTATTGTTTATCCGCTGGAGTTTAATATTCCCTCAGAGCCATATGTGCCTTTTAAAAAATGTGGAGAATAACAGCTGCAAATTCGTCTGTACACCCCCAACCACCCTCCGCCATACAACATCAGAGTGTGTGTGCAAGACTTAAATGGAAAGCACACTTATCTAATGTCAAGAAAGCAGGAAGTAACAGTAAGAAAGCAGCAGCCCTGGTGTTGCTGACAGGCAGCTGGAGCCCACAGGCAAACATTGTGTTGGTGGTGGAGCTGCTGTAGTTCAGTGTGACGCTCACAGCTGACTGGTTACTGAACTGACACAACTGTGACTTCTTTTCTAGCCTGGTCCCACATACAACTGTCCTAACTTATTCATAGTGCTGAGCTCAAACCAGACTGGCATTGTCATCTAGGAGGAGTGGTGATGATCATGATTATGGGATAACAGCAGTGATGAGTATCAATGCAAGGCTTTATCTTCAGTCAAGAGTTTGCCAAGCAGCATGACATTCCCAAGGTTGGGTGACGTGATCTGCCGAAAACTGCAGATATGATTCCAGTGAATCTTCGTCAAGTCATTCTGACAATGTACAGAAACTTGGAATGAATTTGGTGCCAGAGCTTTGTGTTTTTGTCCTTTATTTGGATATTTTGTGTCTAGTCTCTATAAAAAAAACATTGCAAATGAATGCAGAGTCTGTAGGTAAAGGGACAAGGTTTTGGTATTAAAAGCATTCTGGTATCCTTTTGTATTCCATTTGTAGTCCGAGTAGTACTGACCAATCACATGAGTGTTATATAACAAATTGTGTTTGTAATGCAATCTCGGAACCCATCGGCTATCATCTGATGATGATTTAGCTTTCATATGTTTATAGAGATGAGCCAAAATGGCTGGTGCATGCAAGTAGTCTTTGCCTTGACATCTGCTGGCTACACAGGAACCTTCCAAATATTGGCAGTTGTCCCGTGAAGCTCCTCTGGCCTTATCCCACATACAACTGTACTCACTCAGTGGTGTAGTGGTAGTAGGCATGTGCCGGTTACCGGTGTCACGGTTTACCACGGTAAAAGAATGTCACAGTGTCACTAACCGCCCATTTTCCGTTCCGACAGTAAAGGCTGACGGTGTAACCTACACTACGTTTCATAAATGGGAACTTCAGGAACTCAAAACTCAGAAATAACTCTGGGCCAGTCGTACATTTTAAATGGCACACACTCTGAAATCATGCATGTGCAGCCGCTGCAGTCAGCACCATAGGCGGTGCTAGGGTAGGATATATGGGGAAGCTACGGGACAGGAGAAAAAACAAAACAAAAAAAAACAACCTTTTAACCACAGGCAGATACATAGGCCTATAGTATTACTGATGTTCATCAAACTGAGATGTCGTGGCAGAATAATTCCATTAATTCTCTACTCATTTTGCTGTTGTAGCCCAGAAGTAATTATTAATTAGTAATCAATTAATTTTCTTACCTTAATGAAGCAACAGTCGCCGTAGGGCCTTTGTGTCGTATTTGTCAACAATTTCCTCAGGCTTAATCCTCTTAGTTATGTCACTCTCGATGTAGAGAAGCGAAAGAGATGACAGTCTCTGCTGGGCCATAGTTGTCCTCATCCGGTTGCGGACCCGGCGCATCGCTGAGAATGCACGCTCACACATCGCCGTCCCAACAGGAAGAGACAGTGCCAATTTAAGCACTTTTGTGAAGTTTGGGTAAAATCCAGTCAAGGCAGCGGATTTTCCAGAGTGACATCACGCGAACCATGACCATTTCGGCATGGGCAAGATCAACATTGATGGAGAGGGTTGAAGAATATTGCTTTATCAGTCCGGCAGCTCCATCAGCATCACACTTCAACACAGCGTCTACACTTTTTGCAGTTTGCATTGCTTCCTCTGAGAAGCGTTTGTTACAGGCTCCAACAAGTGTGTCAGTGACAGGATAGAAGAGATGTTTAGCCCATTTGTCCTTGGGGCTCTCTGATACGGAGGTATCCAGCTCCCTTTGCCCCAGCGTGCTTCCCACAAGTGCAGAAGTTAACGTGGCTGTCATTCGCGTAGGGCGCTTGTGTCGGGGCTCCTGCTGTGTGACAGAAATGTCACCAGACTCACAAAAAGTGAGTATCTCCCTCCACATCTCCTCCCAGTTTTTTCTCATTTCCTGAAGCCCTTGGATGCTGGCCTGCAGAACACTGGAAGCTTGAGCAAGTGTTGTGTCTGTTTTCTGAAGGGCCTGAGATGCGACATGGATGATGCGCAGTGCATGGGAGAACACAATCAAACACACACAGAATTCCAGTTTTCCCACGCTGTGAAGCAAACCTGAAGCCTCTGTAAATCTGCGGTATGGGGGCACAGAAAACTCGGCAAGGGTGGCCATTATGGATTTGAAAGAGTTTTTCACAGCTGACACGTTATGCCATCTGCAGGCCCATCGCGTGTCACTCAGGGCAGACAGCTCTGCTTTCACTCCCAGCTGTTTCTGCATCTGTAGA